TAATTATATGGGCTTTAGGATAACATATAGCCCAATAGGTAATTGGACCTAATCAAGTTAATGATTTAATTAAGTCTAAGTCCAATTTAAACTTAATTATATATTTTCTATCTAATAGAAAATAATCTCATTACTAAAATTAAATATTCCAATCTAATTGAATATTTAACACTCTCGATTCACTCTTAGCCAGAAAATAGATTGCATATTGTGTGACCCTATAGGCCTTCATATATTGACATAAATCTAATTTATGATCCTTAAGAAACTCCTAGACTGCGTCGAAGGACGAACTCAAAATATGAAGTACGTTTACATAGACAAAGCAAACAAACCTCTAGTGTAGAATTCAATAGTGATACAGTCCCTTCATTCACGAACCACTCGATTAAGCTTAGGATTTGAACATGTGTCTATCCAAATATCTTAATCATTTTATCTCATCTCACTGGTTGATTTTATCAATTACATTTGAACACCATTTCAAATATAATCACGTGCATTGGCCAATGACTTTATCAACCCAGTATAGAGAAAAGGAGTGTTCTTTCGAAACTATATTCGAGGAATGAATCCTATCTTGGCTCAACTACCAATTCCATATATATCATGATATACCCAACACAAGCCCGTGTCTACCCATAAGGGTGTAAGCGTTGGACTAGGTCTAAGTAAATCACTCTATACATGAATTGCGTATTGACCTCAAGTCAAAGGACTATTACACCATTCCACACACCGATACTTCAATAGACACATAAACAAATGATTTATCGGTAGGGTATGCCAGTACTCTCCAAAGTATCCATGTGTCCATCACGAATAACAATTATTCATAGCAGTGAGACATACTATATTCTCTAAGAATATGATGCAGACCACATGTCAATCTTTCGTGTATCATTAATATCCCTTTCTTAATGATCATCGATTGAGGCGATTTTAGAGTTATACTTTATCAATTAACATCTCACTCTGCTAATGACAGTATCAACTCAAGGGAACAATTAATTAATAAATTGCAAACTATCAAACAATTATTTAATTAATTGCAATACCATAATTATAATCCAATATAATTATTAATGTGATCATGTATATATGTCCTTAAAATGATTGTCTCTAGGACACATATACCAACACTCATATCATCGGTGATCAAAAGGTTGCAAGGCTGTTTTTCTTTGAAAGATCTGGGCTCTCTCCATCATTTTCTTGGGATTGAGGTCACTGAAGTTGATAATAGTCTGTTTCTTAATCAAAGTGGCTACATTAAACAATTATTGGAGAGAGCAGGAATGAAGAAGAGCAAAGGATCACCAACCCCCATGATTGTTGGGGTCAAACTTTCAAAAACTGAGGGAGACACCTTGGAGGACATTACCTATTATAGAAGCCTTGTTGGTGCACTCCAATATGCAACAATCACCAGACCAGAGTTGGCATATAGTGTCAATAGCGTGTCTCAATTCATGGCAAATCCCCTTCACACTCATTTAAAGGTTGTAAGGAGGATTTTAAAATACTTGGCTGGAACTTACAATCATGGCTTGTACATCAAGCAGTCTAAGCTCATCTCCCTAAGTGGTCTCTTTGATGCTGACTGGGCTAGTGACATTGATGACAGGAGATCAGTGACAGGTTTTTGTATTTATATGGGAGAGAATCTGGTGTCATGGGCATCAAGGAAACAAGGTTGTCTTCAAGGAGTAGTACATAAGTTGAATATAGAAGTTTGGCACATTGTACAACTGAGTTAGTGTGGCCTCAGTCCTTGCTGACAGAGCTAGGAGTAAAAGTTAAAGGAACACCAACAATTTGGGTTGATAACCAAAGCACAATATCCTTGGCCAGCAATTCTGTCATGCATGCAAGGACCAAACATGTCGAGCTTGATGTCCACTTTATTAGAGAAAAGACAACACATAGAGTATTGAGTGTTCAATATGTTCCAACTCATGAACAAATTGCTGATATATTTACTAAACCACTCAGTCATCAATTCTTCACCAAGCTAAAGGAAAAACTTACTGTGACTTGCTTACCTCGGTTCGAATTGAGGGGGTGTGTGAAATTACCTCTATCTCCTTGCATGCCTTACCATGGTGACGTCCAAGATGATGCTGCATGTGAAGACTAGAAAGCAGCAACACCCGAGGCATGCTCCTGCACAATGCCAGCTAGCATTCCCAGCCAAAACAGTGCAACGGCTCCATTGTACCCTCTCATCTCTCACCATGCATGTGTAGGGTGTAGATTAGATGATAAGAGAGTTTTGGATAGAAATGAGGAATATAATCCTAAATATGATGCTTCTAGATCCTTACTGCGGGTATATATAAGTATCATCATTGTAATCAGTGAGGCCATGAAAAACTGAATACAGAAAAAGCTATGAACCCTAATTTCATGCTTATGGCAATTTTCTTTGATTTCTTTATGTTTTCTCACATTTTTGACAAAATATGGATAACATAGAATCCCCAAGTGAGTTATTCAGATTTTCATATATGTATTGTTGATTTTTAACAAATGAATATGTTGATTTTTGTCCATATTTTTGACAAAATATGGACAAAATTGTTCTTCATAAATCTCTCATATATGTATTGTATTTACTGTTATTTATTCACTCCATGCTACAATAATAATCAGTTTTAGTGACGATAATTTTTGTCGCTATGTCGTCAAAAAAAATACCGTCTTTAATAATGTCCTAATATTGTCGCTATATGTTCGAATGTCGTCACAATAATACCTCTTATTGTGACAATATTTTTTGTGACGACATAGTGACAAAAATTATCGTCACTAAAAATGATTATTCTTGTAGTGATGTTTTGCATTAAAATTTATGAAGGAAACTAAAAAAAAAAGCTTGTTTTTTCAAAATAATATTTCTAGTAACTTATTTAAATTTTTTGTTGTAAAAATGTTGACCATATTAAGTTTTTGCATAATGTCGATAATATAGGCCACTAATTAACTTGTAAAAAGAATATATAAATCAATCAATTGTAACAGCTACAATATTAAAGACAGATAAGTTTTTTTGCCAATTTTAATACAGTCAACGCATTAAAAACCAATGGTGATATGATTTTGAAGTAAATAATTAAATAATTAAAAAGTAACGTTTTTTGGCGGGAATTGACATGTAGGTTTTATTAAATATAAAATTAAATGCATTATTCAACAATTATATATACTAGTATTTTAGCCTGTGCACATGTACAAATGCAAATAAAATTTTATATGTTAAGTATGTGTTAGATAATGAGCATATCATATTTTATAAATTTTATCAGTAGTCAAAATAAACGATATAAATGTAAACTATTAACTTACATATCAATCTTTATATTTGCAATAATATATTTTTTTGCAATTTTGATGATTTTGAACAATTACATAGATAAAAAAATATTAAAATTATTATTATTGCACTTGTGCATTAAATTTCAAAATATAATTAGCTAACATTGATAAGAAAACTTGGTTAATGAGAGGCAAAACAAAATAATAATAATATTAATAATAATAATAATAATAATAATTATTATTATTATTAATGTGAATTTACAATTTGATTTTAGTAATAATAATATCAAAAAAAGTTTTTGGTTACCATATTATTTAATGTGACTTTACAATTTATTAGTAGTGATTGTTACATAATAAAATAAACAAACTATATAATTATTTAATTAATTCTAAAGTAACAAAAAATGGAGAAAAACTTAAAGAATTTTATTAAATTTGTTGCTAGAAATTATATATGTACAGAATTTCTGATACAAAATTAAAGGGGTCGGTAATAACATATATATTATAAAATGGAGTAAGACTGATTTGTTTACTGTCTTTCATTGTTGTAAGAGGCTGATGAAATTATTTGTGATGCTCCTTTTGAAAATTATTTGTTTATTTTTTCGTAGTATTAACTGGCAATCGAGTAATTTTTTAAAGAAATTAAAATTTTTTGTTCTATTACTTTACTGTTCTAGAATTTGTGTTATGTTTTTATTGTAAAATTATTTTCTCAAATTTTTATTAGAAGCGATAAATACAATAAGTTTGATTTGGGGATAACGACCATTGATTATTGTGATAAATGTATTAATGTTTATTAGTCAGTTCAAATTTTATAGTAATAAATGTTTTAAGATAAATTTGTGTAGAATATTTGTGTATACAATGATGATATTTTTATTCAACGATGCATTAGTCAGTTCAAATTTTTATTAGTCAGTTCGTTGTAGTAAGAGGCTGGTTAATATTGTGTATATTACAGTATCTGTCATTACAGTTGAAAAAAAAAATCTAAGTAACTAAATTTACATCTAAGTAACTAAAATTTACATAAACAATTTCTAAAAGTTTTTGTGGACATCTAAGTAACTAAATGCATAATTTATTTAGATTTTCTTCTTCCTTTTACTTCATTAGATTTCTCTAATTGTTTGGGTGTTTTTCTAAAACTTTTTTTTACTAGGTTTCTCAAATTGTTTGGATGCCTTTGCACTATTAATTTTTTTTTTCATTAGAATTTTCAAATTATTTATATGTTTTTGCAACTTTGCTATAATGTTTGAGATTTTAGGACGGATAGACGAAGATATATAATAGTCTATCCAAGTGCCGCGTATAGGCCTGAGCTTGAGGTTAGGGTACTCGACTCGTTAAACAGACGAGTCAAAAATCGAGCTCAAGTTCGACTCTTTTATAATTATCAACGAGCTGGATTAGAGCCTTTAACGAGTCAAATTATAAAAAATTATATTAAATTTCTCTTTTTGAGCCTTATCGAGCTCAGCCGAGCTCGGCTCGTTAATGAAACAAGCTTTAAATAAGCTAAGAAATACAAAAAAGTTCTTTTAAGTCAAAACAACCAAACAAACGTTTGTGTATCAAGGAAAAATTCGCAATCTCTCTTACCCGCCTTTGCCCTCCCTTCCGATAAAATTCCTCCCTTCTAAACGTACTCGCCAGTTCCTCTCATGGCCTCAGTCGACATGCTCAGCGCCTTGCCCGACGAAATCCTCTCTCACGTCCTCTCTTTCCTCCCCTTCAAAACCTCCGTCTCCGCCAGCACCCTCGCCGCAAGATGGAGGTTTTTATGGGCTTATGCCCCTAACATAGATCTAGGCGAATCGAATTCGATGAGAGAGGAGTCAATTCACGAACATAGAAAGTTCATAGACGTCCTCACAAAGATTCTATCCCAATGTGAAGCGCACAGCGTGAACGCCCTTCGCCTTAATAGGGAATTCTTCCTCGAGCGTGAATTTAAGGCGTGTCTCGAGCGCGCCTTTGCGTGCAAGATGAAAGCTCTCGATCTTACGTTGTGGTCCGGCTCTCAGTTTTTGCCCCCTTGCGTGCTCACCTCCGAAACCCTAGTTGATTTGAAGCTCAATTCTCTCAAAATTAAGATAAAGAATGGCACCGTGTGCTTACCAGCCCTCAAGAGGCTTCGTCTTGAGTATGTTGCTCTTTATGGCTCCCTTGAAAACCTAATTTCCGGTTGTCCGGTGCTTGAGGAGTTCACTGTTCATTCCTATATCTCTGTTGTCGTTGACGACACTGTGGTATGCCATTGCATATCTTCTCCCTCTATGAAGAGGTTGGCCCTCAGCTGTAACTTACGTTTCAGGTTGAAGATAGATACTCCCGCACTTGAATATCTTTATCTATTGTTAGAATTTGGGAAAAATATATTCTATATTATTCAAAAGACATGTACACATATATATAGGAACATAATGAGCCTAAATCTAATCCTACAATATATATACAAAATATATTATAACCATATATACAAAATATATTCTAACACCCCCCCTCAAACTCAAGGTGGTATAGTAGATATCAACTTGAGTTTGCTAAGAAGTAAACAAAAGCGACCGGGAAGGAGAGACTTCGTGAAGACATCCGCTATCTGATCCGAAGAGGAGACAGAAACAAGTCGTATAGTCCCATGGGTAACATGCTGACGAATAAAATGACAATCAATCTCAATATTTTTGGTACGCTCATGAAACGTATCATTATGAGACATCTTGACAGCGCTCTGGCTATCACAATGAAGAGCAGTAGAGGATGACTGAGGGACACCAAGATCAGCAAGTAATCGACGCAACCATAATAGCTCTGCGGTGGAATCAGCAAGAGCACGATACTCAGACTCGGCACTCGAACGGGAAACCAAGGTTTGCTTCTTACTGCGCCAAGAGACAAGTGAATCACCTAAGAAGAAGCAATACCCGGTAGTGGAGCGACGATCGGTAGGATCTCCAGCCCAATCTGCATCAGAGTAGCCGCTAAGGGACAAGGAAGAACTGGCCGAGAAATGTAAACCATGCAATACGGTGCCCTTCACATAGCGAAGGATGTGCAACACAGCAGAATAATGCGTGGTTCTCGGAGCAGCCATAAACTGACTCACAATATGAACAGCATGAGCTATATCTGGCCGAGTGACAGTCAAATATATCAAACTCCCAACGAGCTGGCGATATATCGTAGGATCCTCAAGAAGAGAACCATCCAATGGAGTAAGACGAATATCATAATCAAGAGGTGTGGAAGCTGTTTGGCAATCAGTGAGACCGGCCCGAGCAAGAAGATCAGAGGCATACTTGGCTTGAGACAAATAGAAGCCATCAGAGGAATTATAAATCTCAAGACCCAGAAAATAGCGAAGACGACCCAAACTCTTCATCTCAAAATGCTGTCGAAGATAATCCTGTAAGTCGGAAATACCCGAAACATCATCCCCCGTGATGATCATATCATCAACATAGAGCAACAAAAAAATGATCCCAGATGAAGAGCGCCGAAGAAATAGGGCAGAATCGTGATCACTCGTAGTGAAACCAAACTGAAACAATGCAGAACTGAACGTGGCGTACCAGGCACGAGGCGCTTGTTTCAAGCCATACAAAGCTCGGCGCAGACGACAAACCTTCCCAGAGGACAAGAACCCAGAAGGAGGAGTCATGTAAACCTCCTCAGATAATGCACCGTGCAAGAAGGCATTCTTAACATCTAACTGTAAAAGAGACCATCGACGAACTGCAGCAACTGCAAGTAAACAGCGTACAGTTGTAAGACGAGCAACCGGTGCAAATGTCTCTTCATAATCTATGCCATACTCCTGTGAGTACCCCTTAGCAACAAGACGAGCTTTGTAGCGCTCAATAGACCCATCTGAATTTGTTTTGATCTTGTAAACCCATTTGCATCCGATAAGTTTCTTGCCAGCAGGTAGATCAACTAGATCCCAAGTATGAGTCTTGTCTAAGGCCTGCAATTCCTCAACCATAGCTTGTTGCCGCAATGGATCAATACTCGCCTCACGAAAAGACCTAGGCCCATGATGAGATAATATGGCCGAATAACAATGATAATCAAGTAAGTGAGAAGGGGGACGACTTACACGAGTTGACCGTCGCTGATCAATAGCTGGCAAAAGTACAGAACCAGAAGAGGGCTCATTACGAACCGTCAGTTCGGGATGCACAGGTGGAGCCACTTCAGAAGACGGAGGCATGGCAGGCGTGTCAATGAGCTGAGAGTCAGAACCTGTATCTGTATCTGGAAAAAGATCTAAGTAATAGACATGAATAAAGGAGATGCCGAATCAAACGGAATGTGGAACTTAGACAAGGAGGAAAAAGTAGTATGCTCCCAAAAGGTAACATGACGCGAGATACGCAACCTATTAGAAATCGGATCCCAACACCTAAATCCTTTGTGTTCTACCCCATAACCCAAAAAACAACACAGATGAGCTCGGGGTTCTAATTTGGTCCGCTCATGGGACGGAAGGAGAACAAAGCAAGCACAACCAAAAGGACGTAACTGAGTATAATCAGGAGACTGACCGTACAACCTCTCAAAAGGACTGACATCCCTAATGACTGATGAGGGTAACCGATTGATAGCATAAACAGCAGTCAAGGCTGCCTCACCCCAAAAACGATCAGGACACTGAGCAGAAAGAAGAAGAGCACGAACAGTATCAAGAATGTGACGGTGCTTATGTTCAGCTCGTCCATTTTGTTGGGAAGTATATGGACACGAACGTTGAACTAAGGTGCCCTGATCAGAAAGAAATTTCAAAAAAGTAGAATCTTTGTACTCAAGAGCATTGTCAGTACGCAAGACCTTTATAGGACAAGAAAATTGTGTAAGAATCATTTTAGCAAATTGAACATATATGCTGGACAACTCAGAACGATTTTTGAGAAAATAGATCCAGGTAAAACGAGAAAAATCATCAACAAGAATAACAAAATACCGAAAACCACTCAGAGAAGCAACAGGAGAAGGACCCTAAATATCAGAATGTACCAAACCAAAAGGTTTATCTGCAGTTGACAAACTATCAGAAAAAGAAAGAGCCGGTTGTTTCCCAAGTTTGCAATGAAGACAACTAAAAGACTCAAAATGACCTGAACCCAAAAGACCCTTATTATATAAAGAATGAACTTTATTCGAAGACGCATGCCCAAGACGAAGATGCCACTGGAAACTAGACTTACTATCGGTGGCAGAAGCAGAAAAAGCGTAGGAACGAGGGACATGAAGTGACTCAAGCTCAAATAACCGGCCCGTCTTGCGACCTTTCCCGAGAAGCTGTCCCGTCTGTGAATCCTGAACCTGAACACCAGAAGATGAAAATATAACATTAAGACCTTGGTCAACCAGTTGACCAACAGAAATAAGATTCAAGGCCAAGTCAGGAATGCAGTATGTGTCGGGAAGATGCAAGGAAGGGGAAGAAATCAAACCAGTGTGAGTAACATTCATAAGAGTACCATTAGCAGTATGTATAGGAGATAAAGAGGTTACGGAAGACGAGGAAGACAAAAGCTGCGGGCTAGAGGTCATGTGATTGCAACAACCAGAATCAAAATACCAATGTGATTTACCTCCGGTAGCAGACATAGAGGAATTGGAAAGAAGAACCTGTTTGAGAATAGCCTCTATGTCTTGAAGAGTGTAAGACGAATGCTGAGGATCAGTAGTGACAGCCGCTGTAACAGAAGAAGTGGCGGTAGAGGAAGACCCATGATGTCGAGAGAATGAACCTCTCGAACGGTGTGATCTGGCTGGACAATATGTAGCAATATGACCCCGAACATGGCAAATATGGCATACCACCGTAGGACAAAATGGAGCAATATGACCCTGAACATGGCAAATGTGGCAGACCACCATAGAAGAATCCATATCCAAAAAATAAAGAAGCACCAGCAACCAGCAACAGTACGAAGACAAAAGAAAATCACGAACTGGATCACAAACCGGATAAAATAGCAGTAAAAGGCCGAAATTAGAAAGTTCACGAATACCAAATCCGAGCACACCACAAGGTAGCCGACGTCGACAGGAGTCGGCGGCTGAAAGACGGCGGCAAACAGCTGAGTAGGTGAACCACACGCGCCGCCAGAAGCTCACGGCGCTACCGGACAAAGTCGGCGCGTGGGAGCTGCACGCGCGGCCGATCTGGGTGGTTCCGGTCGGCGAAGACTCGTCTCGAGACGGCGGACCCCTTGGTATGGGAGGTGAGAACCGGTGGGCACTGTAGAAGATCGACGAACCAAAACTCTATTTGGGACCTTAAACCTAGTCTGATACCATGTTAGAATTTGAGAAAAATATATTCTATATTATTCAAAAGACATGTACACATATATATAGGAACATAATGAGCCTAAATCTAATTTTACAATATATATACAAAATATATTATAACCATATATACAAAATATATTCTAACATCTATATTATATTAAGCCCTATAATTTCTCGGTTGGGTCGATGGACTCTTTGATTGAAGCACATATTGTTGCTGATCCTGTCGAGCCAATTGTGAAGGACAATCCTTATTCCCGTTCTCTGGTAGAATCTGTGGGTAGGTTCTCTAGTGTAAAAGAAATGAGCTTATGTGCTTGCTGTTGGGGGAAGGTAAAACTTGTTTTTCTCCATCTCCTTTTTCTTTTTCTTTTTTGTAATCTTTGTTTTCCTGCAGGTTCCTGACTCGAACACTGTCTATTTGAACATAAAGTTTCACAATTTAGCCAAACTCATGGTGAATGGTGATTGGTGTTGCATCTCATATTTCGTGGAGAAGGCTAACACTCTTCAAGTCCTTAATGTTAGTCTGATTGTTTTGTCTGTATTTTCACAACGTGTATGCTTATGACTATGTTTGGTAGAACTAGCAGATGATAAATTATTGATGGTCCGGGCTTGTTATGCATTTGTTTTCTTTTGTTTCATCATCAGGTCATACAAGACCGAGAACATGTACCCCTCCAGCTGTTGCCTCCTAAATGCTTGCTGGCCAATTCAGTCTTGAAGCTTCACAATTTAACAAAACTCGAATTGAGTGTCGAAGGGTGGTTTCTCTCATATTTCCTAGAGAAGGCTGATAAACTTAAAGTCCTTATTATCTCTAGGGTAAGCATTTTCTTTTTATTCATATTTAAGGTTGACATTTCCATGTTTACCTTTCTGTTTCATTGTCAGGCTTATTTTATTCAAAAGCGCTGGCTGGCGGCTCCCCTCCAAGTGCCTAATTGCCTTTCGTCACATCTTAAAATAGTACAAATTCATGAATTGGACAGAACAGAGCATGAACTCGACATGGTTAGATATCTCTTGAAGAATGCTAAAGTCCTGGAGAGGATGGAAATACACTGCTTAGCAGAATCAGTCGAGAGAATTTCATCATTTGATCGAGGATCTGAGATATGTTAGATTGTCTTCCACGAATATATGGAATCAATGGAATCAGACGATGAAGACTTAGGTTTCTGACATGATTTAAGTATCGTCTTGTCATGCTAACACTCCACGACTGAGGGTCCTTTCCCATTTCTTTGCGAGAAATGTCTATATCTACATTTTCATTGTTCGGGCCAAGAAAATTATATAGCCATGCTCAGTGATGTCACTGTTAAAAAAGTGCTCAACAATGGGTTTCGACCCATTGGTAAGTTATAACAATACTTGTCCAGTCTTTTTAGTTTAAACATTTGCAGCATTTCCATAATATGCATCTTAATCCGAGTCGTGTAGCAGCAACTGCTGAAATTAATGTTGCTAAGCAACCTGAAAATGCTGGAAAACTTATTGTTGTAAGTCTACTCCTTTCTCATCAAAATTGATTGTGATCTCTTTTCTAAATACTTCTCTCTTTGTTCCCTATTTATTTGAAGCTTTATGAAAAGAAAACTTCAAAACACCCGAGTTTCTGAATGTAGTAATGTGATATTTAACATTTCCATAGTAGATAGGCCCTTTGTCACAAGACAACATAAGTGTACAAAATAGGATTTAGTATGTGATAAAATCTGAAGAACAGATTTGAAGAACAAAATACAGAGAAAAATGAAAGAGCACCAAGAGGAAAAGAACAGCTTCTGTGATGTAAAACCGAAAAAGTGATGAGAGTTCTAGGGTTTCAGCTATTTATACATGGACCAAAAATGCTACTCCTAAATACATAAGAAGTGTGTTTTATATAACAACACTTTTACATATATGGAATACAATGAATAAAAGAATAATGTTAAATGAATTATATATTCTAACACCCCCCCGCAAGAGGAGCGTGGATGTTAAGCATGCTCATCTTGGATACAATGGTTCTGAAAGCCTGAACACCAAGGGGTTTGGTAAAGATATCTGCTACTTGGTCTTTGGAGGGAACAAATTGCAGTCCAATTTTTCCTTGTGCCAGTTTTTCCCGGATGAGATGACAGTCTATCTCTATATGCTTGGTTCTCTCATGTTGAACAGGATTATGAGCTAAAGCTATTGCAGATTTGCTATCTGAAAAAATAGTTATGGGAATAGAATGAGCAATATTAAAATCAGCAAGGAGATAAAGCAACCATTGAGCTTCACATGCTGCTGAAGCAAGAGCCCTATACTCAGATTCAGCAGATGATCTGCTGACAGTTTGTTGTTTCTTAGATTTCTATGAAATAAGGGAATTACCAAGAAAGAAAGCAAAACCAGAAATACTTCTTCTAGTATCTATACAACCAGCCCAATCACTATCTGAATAAGCATGTAAGGATAAAGAAGAAGTTCGAGGGTAGAAAATACCTTGTCCAACTGTGCATTTAATGTACCTGAGCACCCTATGTGCAGCTGTCAGATGTTGCTGAGTAGGGGCAGTGAGATGTTGACTAAGTGCTTGAATGCAATAAGAAAGATCAGGTCTAGTTATAGTTAAGTAAAGTAATCTGCCAATTAACTGTCTATAAGATTTTGCATCAACAAACTGAGAACTATCAGAACATGCAGAAGTAAGCTTTAAATTAGAATCCATAGGGGTTTGAGCAGGTTTGGAATCTAAATAACCAGTGTCATGCAAAATGTCTAAAGCATATTTCCTTTGACAGAGATGAATGCCTTTATCAGACTGAGCAACTTCAATTCCAAGCATGTATTTAAGCTTACCAAGGTCTTTGATAGTAAACAGATTATTCAAATGAGATTTAACAGAGTCAATTTCATGCAAATCATCACCAGCAAGTATGATGCCATCAACATAAACAAGCAAAGCAGTAAAAGAACCTGGTTTATTTTTGATGAACAAACTGAAGTCAGAATTGGACTGAGTGTAACCAAAGTTTAGTAAGCAAGAAGTAAGTTTATGAAACCACTGTCTAGAGGCTTGTTTAAGGCCATAAAGACTTTTAACAAGTTTGCAAACTTTGGTAGAATTAGAATCAATGTAACCAGGGGGAGGGGTCATGTATATATCCTCATCAAGATCACCATGCAGGAATGCATTATTTACATCAAGCTGATAAAGAAACCAATTTTTAACAGATGCAATAGCTAAGAGTAATCTCACAGAGGTGATTTTGGCAACAGGGGAGAAAGTATCAAAATAATCAATGCCCTCCTCTTGAGTATAACCCTTAGCCACTAATCTAGCTTTATACCTACCTAGGGTGCCATCTGAGTTGTACTTTACCTTATACACCCACTTACACCCAATGCAATGCTTACCAGGGGGAAGATCTGTAAGAACCCAAGTATTTGTTTTTTCAAGTGCAGTAATTTCAGCATGCATAGCCTTTTGCCAATTAGGATCTAAAACAGTCTGTTTATATGATCTTGGCTCTTTAATAAGACTAATAGAAGCTGTAAAGCAGGAATGAGATGGATGAAGTCTGTCAGTAGACAAGTGTTTTGATAAAGGATGAATAATATTTCCAGATGTGATAGTCTGTGAATTAGAAACAGAGGCATTAGAAAAAGAAGCAGGTAAAGAATGGTTGTATATTTGTAAGTAGGAAGGAGGTTGCCTATGTCTAGTAGATCTCCTAAGAGGTGGAGTGATAGCAGTTATGTCTGTAGGACATGAAGGTGTAGATAAAGGTATTGTATGATTTGGAGAAGACTGTGGAGGTGAGGATGATTGAGGAATAGTAGTGGAAGAAGGTATGGTATGAGAAGGTGAGGATGGTATATCATGAACAGATGAAGGGATGGTATGTGAAGAGTAAGGATGATCAATAAATTCAGTAGGGGGAAGAGGGAATAGATTATCAGATAATGAGTGAGTAGAGAACATGTCTTTATAGGGAAACACAGACTCATAGAAGATCACATTTCTGGAAATTAATATATGCATTTTGGAAGACATGTTCTCTACTCACTCATTATCTGATAATCTATTCCCTCTTCCCCCTACTGAATTTATTGATCATCCTTACAACCTAGAGGATAACCAAGTAATATGCATTTTGAGGCTCTTTTATCAAACTTGGATCTGTGAGATTGAATTGTGGAAGCATAACACAGACACCCAATGGTTTTAAAATGATCATATGTAGGAGGTTTTCTGTAAAGAAGTTCAAAGGGTGTTTTATTGTGTAAAACAGATGAAGGTGTTCTGTTGATAATGTGCACAGCAGCTAAGACACAGTCTATCCAAAAAATAAGAGGTAAATTAGCATGAAACATGACTGCTCTAGCTACTTGCAAAAGATGTTGATGTTTTCTTTCAACTCTGCCATTTTGTTGAGGGTTTTCAACACAACTAGTTTGGTGAACAATTCCAGTTTGATGAAAAAAATCTTTCATGAAAAATTCTGAGCCATTGTCAGTTCTGATGTTTTGAATATGCAATTGAAACTGGGTTTTCACCATGTTGTAAAAATGCATGATATGATGTTTTGTATCAGATTTGGATAGTAATGGATAAACCCAAGTAGTTCTACTGAAATCATCAAGGATAGTAAGAAAATACCTGTGGCCAGCATAGAATGGGACTGAGAAAAGGCCCCATATGTCACAATGTATTAACTCAAAAGGAGTAGATGCAATAGAGGAACTTACAGAATAAGGCATAGCCTTTTGTCTTGAGAAATGACATATATCACATGGTGAATGATTTGTTACAATGTTTTTGTGTAAAGACAAAGGAAGCTGAACTAGTTTATGAAAAGATAAGTGTCCAAGTCTATTGTGCCAAACAATGGCATTAGAATTATCAGAAAAAGATGAATTACAAGAAAAATTATGATTATTGCTGTCAAGCTTTAGATGGTATAAGCCACTTTTAGCTTCAGCAAAACCAATCATTGTTTTGTTGTTCAGCTCCTGCAAGTTGCAATAGGTAGAGTAGAAACTGATTTTGCAATTGTTTGAAATAGTTAATTTTGAAACAGAGATGAGGTTGAAGGTAAATGATGGTACAAATAGGGCATTATGCAAAATCAAGTTAGGTGCAAGAGTGATATGTCCTATATGACTAGCACATGCACTTTGTCCATTAGGCAAATTCACTTTTATATTCACAGGGGTGGGGGAAGATGTAAAAAGTGTGAAGTCACACACCATATGATCAGATGCACCAGTGTCAAGTATCCAGGTATATTTGTTAAACAATGAGGAGGCAAGCTGATTACCTGAGTGCTCTGGGTTTATGGTTGCAGATGCAACAATAGGGTGATGGACAATTCCAACTCCCTGTTTGTTCTCAAAAGACTTTTTAAACTCTAAGAACTCATGAAAGAGATTGTCAGTAAGGGAATTTGTAGTAGAAGAATTATCAACAGCAGTAACAGAATGAGCATTGTTATTAGTGGTGACAGACACTGAATTAGCAGAGTGATGATCAGGGTGAACTCGAGGACCTCTAGGGCCTTTCCAGTAATCAGGATAACCTATCACTTGATAGCATTTTTCAAAAGGATGATTATAACCACAATGAGTGCACTTCAGTTTCTTTCTATCTTTGTTAAAAGGAGGTTTGTTAAATTTGAAAGAAGACTGAGTGTTAGATTGAACAGCCATGGCTACAGAGTCAAAAGGCTTAGATGCAACAGTAATATTTCTTTGACTTTCCTCCTGAAGCAATAAGGAATAGACCTTAGACAGATTAGGCAAAGGAGAGGACAGCAAGAAATGACTGCACAGAGATGAGTAAGAATCATTGAGACCAATAAGAAATTTCATGACTGAATCATTCTGTTGAGCAGTAAACATGTTATCAAAGATATTGCAAGTGCAGTTATTCAAGGCACCACAGTGACATCGAAAAATAGGCCTATACGTGATGTACTCATCCCAAAGACTCTTGAAAGAATTATAATATTGGGTGATAGATTGGGAACCCTGATCCATAGAACTCAATGATTTTTCAAGTTGAAAAACACACGGACCACTAGACAATACATATCGATTTTTGATTTCAACCCAAACATCATGAGCAACAGTGAAAAATAGAA